TAGAGCGTTGGACTGAATTCTCGATAACCACAAAACTCTGGTTCAAGTCTCAGGTCCTGCAAACTTGGATCTGACCAAGACTGACTGACGACGACTAAGAAGCCAGAGATGGCCATTCCAGTCCCTCCTATCCTCTTCGGCACTCGTTTCTACATTTATATATATGTTTGGCAGCTGAGAAGTTTGTTGGAAAAAGCATGCGGGAAGGACGCGGTCAGAACCTTTGCGGCCCAGTCTGAGTACTTATGCGAGTGTACGAGACAAATGTCGCCAATTACAGCTGAATTCGATCGTGGCTAATGATCCCCATGCCCAGCGTGAGGAGGAGAGGGTCTGAACGAACTTATCAGTGCCCGAAAAAGTTCACTCTGTTGACGGGCGTTGTCTATCCTTGTTATTCATAGAAACCAGGGAAATGTAACACAAGTGATCAAGAACGCAAATGCCATAATTTGGGTGGGGAAGGGGGGATCCGACGACTGCGTCAGTGGGCATCAATGGCGTCGGCGCCTGTTAATGTTCAGGGATCTGATTGATTCCGTGATTAATTGTTCCAACAAGCCCTGTTTCACTCTCGGCGTTCTGGTCGTTGTGCTTGCTGCAAGCTGCCTTGGATGGATACATTTGGTACCCTTTTTCGTCCCTAGACCACAGGATCTGCTGTTCTCCTCAGTCAGCGTTTGAGAGTCTCTTTTATGAGCCTTTCTGACATGGCAGCCGTCGGTTTCGCCCAGAGGCTTAAGTACCGCTACCGTCGTGATATTGGCAGTGATGGGTGTGAAATCGGGCACCTGAACTCGCGGCGCATAGTGATCGCTCAGAGTCACCGCGGGTGTCATGTCCTTGATGACCAGACTGCCACCCCGTCTCACGACAGCCTCCAGATCGATTTCCGTACTGATCTCGGAATGCCCACGAAAGAGCACTCCGTCAATGTCTTCACCCTCTATGGGCTGCATCGCCGTAAGTGCGGACGGCGCCGCGCCAATCACCCTTCTGCAGTCGAACTCTCGTGCAGTGGATTTGCCCGGATTCATCTGTCTGAGCTTTTTGGGCCGCTTCGGTCGAGTCGGTGGCACCTCAATATACACAGTCCCTAGGGTGGACGTCTTGTTCCCCTCTCCGCTCACTCCCAAAACCATATTTGAAATCTTGCCGTCAATTAAGGTGGTTGTTTCCACAGACAAGCCATCCTCCTCAGAGATAACAGGTCGGGGAGGTTGATGCTGGTACGCGTCACCCATCGATTCAGACACCACAGCCGTGCCTGCCTTCAAAGTCACCGAGTCGTCATCCTCCATTACACCGATGGTCCTGCTCTTCGTTTTTCGCGACACTTTCGAGTCTTCGCTACATGAATTCCTGGGAAACTCTGCCTTCCGAGGGCTGTGGTCCGCGCCATTTGATTTATGTCTCATTTCCCGTTGTACCATGCCGCACTTAAATGCAGTCGAGCTACCGGATCCCCCGTTCCCCTGAAGACCTTGCACTTCTGGCCATCGACCATCTGTCGACCAGTCGCGAACGTCCACGCGCCGTGCCAAGGCGACCTTGTCCCTAAACAGCTGATTGGCCAACTAGTGACGGATGCAGCCAATCGATTGGTGCGTCCCGTGGTTTTGTCCAAATAATGCCACCTTTGCAA